TGCTTCATGGTTCGGTACTCATCGGTGCTGGCACTCATCATGAGTTCCAGAAGAAATTACCGAGGTACCGCTGTATTTTGTGGTTCAAACCAGGCCACTTTTTCAGAAGGAAAAAGGGTTGCAATTAATGATTATGTCACTAACTTAAGGCTGTCCTGAGCAAAGCAGGTGTAGGGCTGCCCAACTTAGAAAGCAACATTCTCCTCCTCACTTAAGAAAAACTTGTGCAACTCTTTACCCTCACCCCACCCCCCCACCAGCTGAAAGCGCAAGCCAAACAGCCTCAGTTTTCTCACCCTGGAGGGAAGAGTTCAGAGCAAATATAGCTACACTTAGAGCATGAGGAAACCTAAGCTGCCAATGGAAGAAATACAATCTGAGAGCCACAAGTAAATATACACTTTTTTTTTTCTTAAAAAACAAAGCCCTGGCGGGATGGCTCAGTTGGCTGAAGCATCATTCAGTACACCAAAAGTCTGCAGGTTCAATTCCCTGTCAGGGCACATACACCTAGGTTGTGGGTTCGATCCCCAGCCAGAGCGTGTGAGGGAGGCAACCAATCAATGTTTCTCTCTCACATCTCTCCCAAATCAACAAGCATATATTTGGGTAAGGATTTAAAAAAAAGAGAACCCACTACTTGAAATGACTCTACCCGACAATCTTTGTGGCTTCAGTGCAGGGAGAGGGGATGGGTTCCAGGGCTGGCAAAGCAAATCACTTCCCCCCTGAGGCTGAAAATGGTCTGATGCCTACACTACCAGACAGTTAATGAAGGAGGGAAAAAAAGGAGACATGGAGCCAGAGATAGAGAAGCCCTCCCAGCAGATGTCACGATGGTAAAGTTCTACGGAAAGCCAGCCACTCCTGGTTCCTGCCTCAGGCCTGAGTCGTGCAGACAGCACAGGTTAGCCAAAGGCTCCTGGATGAGCACCTAACCTTAGATACAGCCCCACCACAAAGCAAAAACTTTCCCCCATTTGGGGTAAGTCAAGATTTCTTTTCTATGGAATATCTTACTATCGCTGTGGCAGAGACTGTAGAAAATTCCTCTGGTATCTAATGCTAAAAATACAGTATCAACAAGAGAGTTGTCTGAGTTATCAGCCATTTCTACATTGTGCAAAAGTCAAACATTCACAATTCCCTGAAAGTTTAACAGAAACACTCAAATCTAAGTGTCTCCAAATGATACTTCACACAGGAAACAAGTGTGGCCTCTGGGGAATTAGATGGGGAGAAGAAAAAACCCTTTTTCATTTCATATCCTTTTTGTATTTAAATCTTTTTACTATCTATATTTACAATCTCTGTAATTCAAAGCAATCTAAATTACTGGTGTCCACCTGTATGTCCTGCAATCAGTTTCCCACTAAAATTCCTAGAGTCTAATCCTCTCATTTCTCCTGGCCCTGGCTAGGCTGTGTGATGAGAGCTCTAAGATACAACCTCACCTTCACAAGTTCACAAGTCTGAAAAAACTAAGATCTAGATCTTTCTTGTTGGGGGATGAATTCAGGCAGAAAAAGGATACTGGCGATATTAGAAAAACCCAGTATTTTCAGCTTCATACTGATGTAGACCGACTGTAAACCTGAAAGGGGATGGTACTCTGGAGGGTAGATGCTGCAGGATAGATGCATACAGTGAAATGCTACTTGGTGAGCGCTGGTTAGTGTAGCTCAGTGGATTCAGTGTGGGCTTGTGAAGCTAGGAGTCTCCTGTTTGATTCCCAGTCAGGGCACATGCCTGGGTTGTAGGCCAGGTCCCCAGTAGGGGGCTTTCTCTCCCTCTTTCTCCTTCCCTTCCTCTCTCTAAGTAAATAAAATCTTTATTGATGAGATTTCAATTCCAAGGGCTCTTTACCAAACGGTGGGAAAGACTATTCATTTGGGTTACTGCGAGGGGGTTGGGGGTGGACTCAACTGCTTAGCACTTGGAATGGTACTGCAAAGACTCTATCTTAATCCTTTAATAAGTTCCCTGTGGTGGAAATGAGAGGTAACCAACATGAACTGTCTCCAAATTGCCTTATGCATTAAACACAACTTTCCCAAAATTTGTATTTCACAATTAGTGTTAAAACTGAACTTCACCCCTACTCTGCAGCTCAGTCTGCAGGAGAAATCAGGTGACTTTTAGGATTTGCTAAAGACTAGAATCTATAGTTCAGGGGTACTCTCAGAGTTAAGATACTTAAAAAAGGAAAGCACAGCCAACCATCTGTCTAGGTTTCTACAGCAGTGTAGCTTAAAGTAGGGGGGCCAGGTGACCTCCTGGAGCCTCTGGCCAGCTTTTGCTGCTAACTGGGGATAGCAGCCTAATGGTGCTTGGCTGGGAGATTCCAACTGGCTCAGGGAGTACCAAAAATAAGCCACAAAGCATTCAAGAGTCATGCTTATAGTTTTGATTCCAAACATTTTGTACTTATCTTCTAGACGGTTTTATTTTTGGTTTTTTTTGTTTTTATTTTGAATGTAATCTCTGTTCCTAAGGCCAAGGAAGAAAACTGGAGGCAAAGAAACGCAGGCTGCAGGTCAACAGATGTACTGTGTATGTTTAACTTACAACAGATTTAAAAGAACACACCACGACCACCTCCACTCTAGGACGAGCCAGGAGCGCCAGACAGAAACCGCCGTTCAGAGGCAATAAAACCCTGAGCACAGGTTTCCTCGGACCCCCGCGGTTCACCTGGAGGCCAGTGGGTCAAGGAGCCCTTGTGAGCAGAAACTGAAAGAGGGGCGGTGGGAGGAAAAAATACACCTCGGGGGGTACCCCCGGCGGCAGCACAGCCGTGGATCTTTTGACGGAAGTGACCCACGCGACAGTGAGCAGAGGATCAGATGCAGGACCCAGACCCATGAATCCTCCGCCCCGCTCTCCGGCAGACCCTGAAAGCACGGGGCCAAAAACCGGGATACTGAGCAGCATTCCCACTCTCAAGACTAGGTTTTCGTCCCCCACTCCTCAGGCCCCAAGCCTGACAGATCCCAAGCCCCCACCCTTCAATTCCGTGTTCCTTCCACACAGACCCTCCCCACATCCCACATCTTCGTCCTTCTTGGACCCCATGCTTCATTGCTTACGATCACAGATAGGGGTCGGTTACCTGCAGAGCAGCTCGACAACCCTGCAGGTAGTCCTCCATGGTGAAGCCCAACGTGTGCCACCGCCCCTCGCTGAGGAGCGGTTACCCGGCGAATGCGCCCCGCCCCGGACTCAGGGGCCTGTGGCGAGACTCAGGAGGCGGGACTCGAACCCGCCACACGGCGATTCGGCCCAGACCCCGGGAGGAAGTGCGTAACCGGGCGCTCCGGGAGTCAGATGTCGCCCCGCCCCCAGAGGCGGAGGCGGAGTTCTGCGCTCGGAGACTCACGGGACACCTTTTCCGCGGCGCCAAGTGGGACGTGACGCAGGGAGTCTTGGGAAACGTAGTCCAGAAGCTCCGAAATGAGGGGAGGAGAATTTTCTGAAATCACTCATTTGACACACAAACGTATATGTGTCACAGTAACCTACCCTTGTGGCATCTGAACTTTTCCCTTTCGAGTCAGGCTAAGTATAGCATCTTTCCATATATTACACCGAGTCTCTGGTTGACATCTTAAATTACACATCGCCAAACAGCTCCTCTTCATCTTCCTTTCTCGAATTCTCCTGTTTGGCAAACCGACCCATTGCCACCAACTTTGCGATTGCGCATGTTATAAAAACGATAGAATAATCTTTGGACCCTCTTCTTAATACCTACGGTCTCTTACCGACTCCCGCTGCTTCTTTCTTTAAAACTCTGTGGCCTGTTTTTAAAGCAGCCTTGGAAATGTCTCCTCATTCTTTTCCTGAACTGTTGTAACGTGTGTTTTTTGCTCTCTACCTCCCTAATCGTTCCAAGTGCCCTTTCAGCCTTCAGAGTTGCTTGAAGTTTCATCCTATGGCAGCCCTGTAAGTAGTTTGGAGGCCCTTCAGAATGCAGAGTTGGGTCCCAACCTCCTTTAACTGCCACCTTCCGGCCCCACAGCAGTGCGGAGTGCTGCAAATAAATGTACTCTCACCATCAATGCTCCCTCTTTTAGCAATCCATCCCTTTATCTCCTACCACCAGAATGACACCAGCTTTTCCTGTTCCCCAAGCTAGGAGCACAGAGGAGTTGACTGATTATGCTGAGGCCTGTGGTGGGAACAAGGATTAGAGCCCAGGGGTATTGGATCTCCTGCTTGCTCAGCTAGTTCTCTCTCTGCTGCATTCTTCTTCCCAGAGTCTGGGCTTTCTTCCACACCTTCTTCTGCACTACCAGGGGCATGCATAGCCCAATCAGTTTCATTTCTAGACTGGGGGGGGGGGGGAGGATAGAGTGAGGACTTGGAAAGAAGCAGAATTTTTTAACTTTAAATAATTGAACATGCAAATATCTTGTTCTTTGGCCCTGCTTCTGTGGATACAGAGCAAAGGACTGCCTTACTCAGGGAGAAAGCCCAAATCCAACGCGCTGCTGCTGTCCAGCGCGGCTCCTCCCCACCCAGCAAGGGCACTTGCTCTTCCCTGTTCTCACCAGAGAGGCACAAGCGCTCCGGCCCTTCCAGCGGCAGGCAGAGCGAAGAGAAAGGGTCTGTTGTTTTTCTCTCCGTGTTTCTCGCTCCTCCACTGCTGATCACCAAGCTGCTGACCAGGTCAGAAAGCCTTGATGGAAATCCTCCAGTGCTGGGCACGCCCCTTCTCCTCCAAGGAGGCTGTCCTTGACTAATTTTTCTTTGTCCCGAAGGGAAGAAAAGAGAGAGGGAGAAAGAAGGGAAAAGAAAAACCTTAAACTCCCTTTGAAAACCAGTTTGGAGTCAGGGCCTGGAGCGCACGCCCTAGACTCGGCGACTCAGGAATCTCGAAGACACGCTCTGAGCAAGCCGGGAGCACCTGGGCTGCACCCCTGCCTGCCGTCGCCCTCCCCCGTTGCCGTGGATCCTGGGCGTGAGTCCGGAAGTGGCCAGGACCCGGCCAGGACCGCCGCTGGTAAACCTTGTAAAAGCTCTGGCGTTGACAGCTGGAAGGCAGCTGGGACTGTGGCGCCCCCCTCCTTGTACCCACCGGCCCCATCCGATTGCCGAGCGGAACCCTCCTCAGTCCTGGAACAACCTTCTTTAAGGTAAAAAACTTTATTTTACCCATTTCCTTCACCTCTTCTCCTATCCCCAGTTCTCTTTTTCCTCTCCATCTCTGGGGAGGTGACACTGACTGTCCTTCCACCTCTGGTCTCCACAGGTCTGGCCTCTGGGAGGAGTAAGGCAGGGGACTGTGTAAAGAGGGTGCTGCTTGGTCCCTTCACTTTCTGCATTTGAAACCTCCTCCGCCACATTACAAGCAAACACTGTAGTGGTGGTTGACTTATTCTAAGGGGACAATTTAAACCTTTAGTTGCTTGAAGATTTGGGTCAGACAGAAAAGGAGAATGGAGTGGGACAGTAAGGGACTTGCAGGGAGGAAAGTTCCTTGGTGGAGAGGTGGGGGGTTGGTTATTGAAGCTCCCTACCCTTTTTATAGGCTTCTTCCAACTTTTGGCTACTCAGTGCCACTGCTAGGGAGGAGCCAGGGCTATTTTAACTCCCTCACACTCAAGCAGAGATAATTCCTGCTGGAGACAACGTGTAGGACTTGAATTGAGGAAAAGAATGGAATCCTGACTGGCCTGAGCTCCCTCCCCTCATCCTTTGCTGCTGTGAAACACCCTGTGCCCCACCCCACCAGGTGTGCACCTCGTGGATGGAAACCCTCCATTCTGTTTCCTGCCCCTCCTTTTAAGACTTAGCCCACTTAGCTTTGCCCAGTTTTTCTGAGACCCAGCTCCTTCCCATGTCCAGCACCTGGTTTGTTTTGGCTCATCCCCCCAGACAAGCAGCTGCACAGCCCCCATTTCATCATTGATCACTTCTGGCATTATACAGAGAAGATAAGAAGTGCTGCTTCTTATCTACTTTTCTCTAAGCTGTTTAAACTTTCCCAGGCTCATCCTAAGTGTCATTTGGGAGGTGAAGAAAGAAGGAAATAGAGAAAAACTGAGTGTCAGGCCTGTAGGCAATTTCTGCTACTCTGATTCTAAATTAACAACATGTAAATGAGGTACGGTTAGCATAAATTATGTCTGAATCAGGAGGATGATCAATTTGAGTGACTAGGCATATTGCATTAACTTTTATGTTCCTCAACTTCATCTCCCAGGCCTTACCCTTGCCCTAGATTCCTGCAGGATTACAGGAAGCATGGTCTCAAGTTAGGAAGAAGCCAGAGAAGACAAGATTTCTGACAAATTTAATTCCTCACCTTTTCTTACCGCGTCAGGGGTGAGGGGAGTATGTTTTCCAGAGGGCAGATGTTTTTCAAAGGGTGGGGTTTGTGGCTTTTTATGGTTTACTATGCACAGCATTAATTAAATGTCTGTCCCTGCTGAACTTGATGTTTAGTGCCAGTGAAGAGCAGGTTAAACAGGTCCAGTGTTCACATCTAAAATCACCTAGATGGGAATAGATAGAAAGAACATATGCACATGTAAATGAATGTAGAGGGAGTATTTTTTATGCAAATTGATAATCAGCATTTTGTATTCTATATACATAGTGGCAAGAGTATCTGTGAATTAAGGTGGTTTGGGGAGCAAAAAGGAACTGAGGAGAAGTTGGCATCTCAACTCTAGCTGTGCAGAAAAGCTTACTGAAAAAATTAGGAGGGGGTTGGGGGGTGGACAGTGGTTTTTGTGCTCCTAACCTGAAGTTATTTATTAGCACAATCTCTGATTCCAGCCCCTAGAGCCTACATTTCCCCTCTCTGACCTACAGGAAGTCCCTCCCAAGACCTTTTTGTTGTGGTTTGAGATTGTGTAAAGCTCAGTGAAATCCTTTGAGGAGGAATTCTTTCTCAATGGTGTTTCATTTTTAGGGGCATGGTGCGGACTCTCCGCCTTTCCCCTCTTCCCACCAAGCCCTGCGTGACTGTTCATCTTTCTGCCCCTGCACTAGGCAGAGAAAGGTAGCCCTCAGGATTCAAGCAGCCTGTGTGCGCAGCACGATCCCCTAACAGCCAAGGGGTGAGGCTTGGTCTAGGGCTGGAGGAATTACCTCCGCATGGGCTAAGGTGGGGCTACCAACCTTACAGAGCGAGCTGAAGAACGCCCCTGAAGAATGCCCTGTTAAATAACCATTAGCATAATTTTAACATTTCTTTCTCCATTTCTTTCCCTTCTGTCTTTCTCCTTTCATTCTCCCTTTCTCTGTCTTTTCTGCATTCCCTGTCCTTATCTGTTTCAGGGAAGCCGACCCCACCCGATGTCTTCAATCCCACTGGAATCGTCCCTCCCAAACCTGAAAGCCCTGTACACTCCTTGGCCCCATCTGATCACGGCAAGTTAAAGGTGAAAGGTCCCAGCCTGGGGCTGCTCTTCTGTTTACCCAAGCTGACAGAGACACTAATCTCCCCCTCTAGGAGTGGCTGCGGACATTATCCAGCCTTCCGTACCACATTCCTTTTCTAAGACTTCTCTGGGCCTATTTGCTTTCCAGCCCAATGATTTCTTTTTTATTGGATGGTCTCTCTTTTGCAGTTCAAGCCTAGACTGGGCAACTCCCTGAGGACTGTAAAGTCCTTTGGTGGCCCCCAGTTGACCTCTTCTGACCATGGAAAACCATCAACCTGAGCACCCGATCTCTGTCAAGGCCAGGACTGCAGAAGCAGTCAGCCCTGAAAACCACGAGGTGCTATCAGAACCGGAAGAGCACCGCCAGGACGAGGATGCTGGACAGGCTGATGGGGCAGCCAGAGAGGCTGTTGGGGTGGCTGGAGAGGCTGATGGGGCGGCCAGAGAGACTGTTGGGGTGGCCAGAGAAGCTGTTGGGGTGGCCAGAGAAGCTGTTGGGGTGCCCAGAGAAGCTGATGGGGTGCCCAGAGAAGCTGATGGGGTGACCGGAGAAGCTGATGAAGCAGCTAGAGAACAGGAGCCAGAAGATCAAGGGTCACTGCCAGTCCAGGGCCAGGATAAACCTGAGTCCCCTCCACCTGATGCTAGCTCAAACCAGCTGGGGCCAGCCCACCAGACACCACCTGAAGCAGAGACAGTGGGGGTGCACTCCAGGCCCCAGGAGCTTCCCCAGTCCCCCAGGGCCCGACAGCCCGAGCTGGATTTCTACTGTGTGAAGTGGATCCCCTGGAAGGGAGCACGGACACCCGTCATCACCCAGAGCTCTAACGGCCCTTGTCCTCTCCTCGCCATCATGAACATCCTGTTTCTCCAGTGGAAGGTAAGAGGGAGTTTGGCTGGGGCTCAGAGAAAGTGTGGGGTAGAGGACTGTTCCTGACCCACCTCCTTGGTCATCCTGACTTTCTCAAACCAGTCAAAACTTTCCAGATTACTCTTGCTATCTCTCCAGCTTGAACAAATGAGATAATATGCTCATAAAAACGAAACAAACCATTCTGTCCTACTCCTATATCTTCTTTCTAGCAAATGGGAAGGCCTTGCAGTATTTAACATTCACTCCCTTGCTTGCTTGCTTGCTTTACAAGCCTCTTTCCACCACATCCACCGCTGTACAGCCCCTGTCCTCCCCCTGCCTTTCCGTGGGTTTCTCCCTCCGTGCTCTGGGAAGGGAGGCACATTCATGGCCGACCCCTTGATCGCCCCTCTTCCTCCAGGTAAAGCTGCCCCCTCAGAAGGAAGTGATCACATCAGATGAGCTCATGGCCCATCTTGGTGAGTGACTGGGCCTCGAAGAGGAATCACACACAATTAGAGGCGCTACCATTCAGGTGGAAATCCAGAATATTGAGGGACTTCCCATTAGGGGTTCTGGTGTGTCGGGGAGGGTGAAGGTCTTGGGGGCATCTCTGTAAGGCTGGGCCATGAAAAGCAAAAGTCAAGGTGTCAGGTGTCCTGGGTTGTAACCCCGATTCTGTCCTTACCTTGCACATGTGACCTTGGGTGGGCCCTTCATCTTCGTGAGCCTATTTCTTCCTCTGAGAACTGAAAGGTCAGGGTTAGATCCTAAGGCCCTTTCCAGCTCTGAAAAGCTGTGGTTCTGTGACATCACCCCCATCTGTTCTCCAGAAGAGGAAGCAGCTTTGGGGACAACTGGCGGGGTAGGCTGATAAAGAATCCTGTCTTATAGGAGACTGCCTCTTGTCCATCAAGCCCCAGGAGAAGTCAGAGGGACTTCAGCTTAATTTTCAGCAGGTAAGCCAAAGGCCTGCGGACAAAGGGGTTTGCGGGCTTGTAAGCAGACAGCCAGGCTATTAAGAGACACCATTCTCAGGAGGGTTTCTTGGTGCCCTGACTACAGTAGGTCAGTGGATTGGGCGTCATCTTGCAAACTGAAAGGTTGCTGGTTCAATTCCCAGTCAGGGCACAAACCTGGGTTGTGAGTCAGGTACCCAGGTACTTGGTTGGGGGTGTGCTAGGGGCAACCAACTGATGTTTCTCTCCCTCTCTTTCTCCCTCCCTCCCCCTCTCTCTAAAATAAATAAATAAAATATATATTTTTTTAAAAGAGGGTTTTTTGAACCATAATTTCTTCCTTCAGGAGGAAGAGGAGAGTAAATCTCTGTCCTAGAAAATATGTTCATTATATAAGATAAAGAAGGGTTGGGGCAGGGGAAGGAATGGTATGGCTTATAAAGGAACCAGGGATGAAAAGCAACAAGATTAATTTTTTACTTCTAGGGGTGGAAGTGGAATGCGGGGGGCAGGCTAGACCATCATTTTCTTTTCTTCCCCCACCTTCTTTGAGCTATAATTGATATATAACATCGTGTAAGTTTAAGACATACAATGTGTTGACTTAACATACCCATGGTTTTCTCTTCTGCCTCCAGAATGTGGACGATGCAATGACAGTGCTGCCTAAACTGGCCACAGGCCTGGATGTCAACGTGCGGTTCACAGGTGTCTCGGATTTTGAGTATACGCCCGAGTGCAGTATCTTCGACCTACTAGGGATACCTCTGTACCATGGCTGGCTTGTTGATCCACAGGTGAGGGCGACAGGGCCCAAATGAGGCTCTTACACAGTTCAAGCTGATAGAGAAGCATAATTTTGTGGGGTGGGGCTTAGGGAGATGGGGGTTAGGGAGGTAGGGGTTTAGATTGGCTTGGGAGAGGAATGAGGTATAGAGGCAAGATCCAATGGAGAATTCTTTGAATTAAGAAAAAAAAATTTGGTAACATTCAAATACAAGCAAACCATTTGTAGTTCTTTAGACATCAAACGTTTCAGGAACCTTTGGTGGTAGGGTTGCAGTCCTTGTGGGCTTGGTTCATCATTTCCTTCCTAAAAAGATCTGAGTTTTTTTTTCCGTACCACCCTGCTCCACTGCCCATGCAGAGCCCTGAGGCTGTGAGTGCAGTTGGGAAGCTGAGTTACAATCAGCTGGTAGAGAAGATCATCACCTGCAAGCACTCCAGCGACACCAACCTCGTCACAGAAGGTGAGGTCCCACCCGTCTCCTCCTTCCGTGGATCTCATGTGGGGGGAATGGTGGCCACTTAGATTTGTTGTTCATTGTCTGTCTCCCCCCAGCACATCCCCTGAGAATGTAAATGCCGTGAGAGGGAGTTTGGGGAACAGTGTCAGTTAACTGATGTGTACCCTTAGTGCAGTGCCTGGCACAAGGTGGCTGCTCAGTGACTGTTGGTTGAATGAATAAACAGAGCCAGGCTTCAGGGGACGGGTTACACAACGTGGGACCATCCCCAGACCTTTGGGCAGGGACTCTCTGGATGATCCTTCTTTCTGTGGCCTTTGGATTCAAGCCAAGGCCCCACCCCCGCTCTGTGCCCCGTGGCAGGTCTGATTGCAGAACAGTTCCTGGAGACCACCGCGGCCCAGCTGACCTACCACGGACTGTGTGAGCTCACCGCAGCTGCCAAGGAGGGTGAACTTAGCGTCTTTTTCCGAAACAACCACTTTAGCACTATGACTAAGCACAAGGTGATGAGGCAGTGCAGGTGGGGGAGGGTTGGAATGCTGTTTATTTTCTCATCCCTTTTTCTTCCCGGTCAGTGTTGCAGCCAGCACAGGGTAGATTGGGCTCTGGTAACAAATGACCCCTAAAATCCCTGTGGCTAGCCACGGGGTAGGTTTATGTCTCTCTCATGCTGCATGTCCACTGCAGGCTGGCTGTAGCTCTCTCCCATTGTCTTCACTCTGGATCTCAGGTGGACAAAACAGCCTTTATCTGGAATGGAGGAGGGACACCACGTACTCACGTTTAGTGCTTCTGCCTGAAATGACACGTGTCATTTCTGCCAACACCTCATTGGCCAGAGCAAGCTGTAAGGGAAAAGGCCTGCCATGAGTGCGACAGGAAAGTATAATCTTCTCCTGGGAAGGAATTTTTTTCCTAAAGATTTTATTTATTTATAGAGTGAGGAAGAGGGAGAGAAACATTGATGTGTGAGAGATACATTGATTGGTGGCCTCCTGTACACCCCTAACTGGGGACCTGGCCTGCAACCCACACGTGTGCCCTGACTGGGAATCGAACCTGTGACCTTTCCGTTAGCAGGCTGGCGCTCAGTCCACTGAGTCACACCAGCCAGGGCAGAATGGAATTTTTGAAAAATGCTATAGTCTTCCCAAGTTAGAAATTATCTAAGCCCTCTAGGAATTGAGAGAAGAGGGAGGGGTCTTTGGTTCTCCAAAGATTTATCCTCATGAGCACTGGGTGAGTCCAGAGAACAACGGGAAGTGGGGTAGAAGCGTGATCTCGTGTGGGACCCCAGCTCTGAGGACTCCGTGCTTGGCCACAGTGACCACCATACTCCCACGCAGCAGACCGTACACTCAGACGTCCCTTCCCTCCCCCCTCAGCCACGTGTGTTCATGAAAGAGCCACAAGCTCTGACACTGACACATTCCCCCTGGTACACCAACTGGGTCAAATGGTCTCTGTGCATCTCAGGTGATTCTGGGCAGCAAACTGCTTCCATGTCGCCTATCCCGCTCATTAGTGCTGTCGTCTTCCTTGCAGAGTCACCTGTACTTACTGGTCACTGACCAGGGCTTTCTGCAGGAGGAGCAAGTGGTGTGGGAGAGCCTGCACAATGTGGATGGGGACAGCTGCTTCTGTGACTCTGACTTCCACCTAAGTCACTCCCTGGGCAAGGGGCCTGGAGCAGAAGGTGGGAGTGGCTCCCCAGAAAAGCAGCGGCAGGTCGACCAGGTGTGTGGGACTTTTCTGGCATTGGCCAGCTGCATGCACTGTTCTCGTCTAGAGATGGTAACATCGGACACCTGTGCCCCTTTGCTCTGTTTCCTTGGGACCATCTCCATGCTTGGTGTATATTCTCTGTCACCATAGAGATACACTTGGCTGTGTATGCTGCTCTGGAGGAGGGGGAACCAGAGAAGTTGAAGGATGAGGAAAAACTAGTTTGGAAACCTCAACCTAGCTCGAATATCTCCCAGGCCACAGCCCACCTCACCACCCTGTTCTTCCCCTCTCTGTAGGACTACCTGATTGCCCTGTCCCTGCAGCAGCAGCAGCAGCCACAAGGCACGTTGGGTCTTAGCGACTTGGAGCTGGCCCAGCAACTTCAGCAAGAGGAGTACCAACAGCAACAAGGGGTCCAGCCTGTGCCAGCAAGGGCCCCGTCGCCCCAGGTGAGCCCCTAGCACTCGCTGCTCCACCTGCCGGGTGTTGCACCCCTGCTTCTCCCCGTCCAGACACTGGTTATTGTTATTCCCGCAGTCGTGTCTTCGAGATTTCCCTTGGGGCCCTTCTCTTGTCTGGGTCCCTTCCTATCTTTCTCTCCCCGCTGACCCTCCCAGTCCTGACCCTGCTACCATCTAGAATCTCTGTTCTTGTGCTCATTCAAACTTGTTCAAACCGATGACCACTTGCTAAATCCCACACAGGCGAGAGGAGCGCCGCCCGGACGCCCAGCCGGAGAGCGCCGGCGGAGGCCAAAGCCAGAGTCCGACTGCGTCCTCCTGTAGCGCTCGCTGCCGGGCTGCCCTGCCTCTCCTTTCAGAGGCTCTGGCTACTTTGCTTGCTCCCCTAGGTCAGCCCCTGAGATATGCAGGGTAACTTATTTATGGACTGTTGGGGATCACAGCAGGCAGTAAATGTCAAGATCACACTCAGCGACATCCTTGCCCTCAAGTGCTGCGGCTTCTCTCCCTCCCAATTACCCAGGGCAACAGTGGGACTGGTGGGGTGAGGACTTCTGGTTCCCTACTCCCCTGTCCCAGAATATCACACTACTGTGGAGACTCCAGGGTGAGGTCCCTGTCTAGACAGCATCTGCCTGGCTTCCCACCCTCACTGACTGGGTCCTCTGGCCATCCTGCAGGTCCGTCCCCCTTGTTTCAGGATTTGGTTTGGATTTCTATCTCCATTATCTGTAATGCCTTCCTAGGGGTTTGGAAATAAAACCTGATTCCTGAGATCTGTTGTTTGTCCTTACCCTGTATCAATGGGGTTAAGTATTTGACCCCATGGAGGAATGCAAAAGGCGGGGGAGGGGAAAGAGGTGTGAGGGGTTGCCTGTCACATCGGACAGAGCCAGCAGGGGGAACCACAGCCTGTTTTTCCTTGTTTTTGTTGATCTGTTTTTTGATAGGTCTTCTTTGGGAAATAGTTCTCTCATTTGGAGGCGGGTTCTCTCTTTGGAGATACGGATTTGGGGGTTGTGCTCCCTGCTAACCTGAGACTTCCCGGGCAGGCCAGAGGCAGCTTGATCCTCTGCTTGCCTCCCAGTTTCTACAGATGGTCCTTTGCTACCTCTGACCATTCCTGGCCTTGTTCTGATTTTTGTTTCTCAGTGATTTTACCTAAAATTTCCTGGGGAAGAGAGAATAATGCGGGGGCGGAGGGACACCCCGAGGGGAGAGGGGCTGTTGATAACTGTAGCACTAGAGCCCAAAACAGGATTCCTGTTGAGTAACCCAGCGCACGTCTACTTCCAGGCCTCCTCCCCACCCACGTCCTGCTCCACCCTAACTTCAATCAGGGAACACAAACAAGAATGAAGTTGGCTAAAGCCGACCGGCATCAGTGAGGTGTTCTGTGCAGGGTATGGGAAGGATGAGGCAGGGCAGAAACTGTCCAGCAGCTCCTAGTAACCCACGTCCAAGACAGAGCTAGGCGAGTCAGGTGCAGGTACGGAAGGGACAAGGCCAGCCCCACTTGCTGTTGTGGCACCAGGTGCCTAGCCCGCCTGTGACCTTGTTAAACATGACTGCCATTTTACTCTTCTGAGCTTGTCCCCAGGACTGGGAATTACTGGAAGCAGAGACAGAACCACTCCCTACAGCCCCTGGCAGAAGATAACATCGGAACAAACTGCAGCCTCCCGTTACCACACCCCCAACGGCCCAGGGGCCTCACCACAGCAACCCCCACCCCCACTTTTAAAATCCAATTATAATCCAATAAAAGCCCAAAGCCCCCACCCCTCAAGGCTGGTGTATCTCTCCACACCAAGCCCCTCTCCTTTCTTGGAGAGTGAATAAAAACTTGATTCTTTACACCTGCCTTTCCTTGTGAATGCTTTCACAACCCGTACCACTGACCACTGTAACAAGTATCACTTTGAGATGAGAGAAATTAAAGGATTTAAAAGAAAACTTTGAGTTCCAGCCTCAACAAGAAGCTCAAACGTGCAATTCTATTTCTGGCCCAGCTGGTCTCCTGCAGGCTCAGCCAAGCATGGGATCTCAGATCCTGACTGTCTGTGCGGACGGAGGGGCGGAGTGGTCTCAAAGGTCTTCAGCCCTGCACAGCGCTAGTAGGGCTGGACGGCAGTCCCCTCTCACTGCATCCTGCAGACAAGAGAATCAAGTGTCAGAGAGGCCCGTAGCTCTGTAGCCCAGGCACTCTGCCCCCTCCCTTGTGCTGATCCAGAGCTTGTCTGGAGCCCAGAGTCTTACACCAAATTAACCAAAGACTCGTGAATCATCCAGGACACAAGCTCAGCTGTGTGCAGGGAGTGCAGTGGGGAGGTGAAGGGTGAAGCTGTCACCTGGAGGGAAGAGTAGAGGGACTTCCCAAATTTCTTTTTGAACTCAGCTCGGATGCTTAGCAGGTCAGTCTCGCTTCTAGAGATAAGGATGCGCATCAGGACTTGGTAATTGGGCTCAGTTCCCTGGTAGAGGAAGAAACGAATGGGGTGGGGTGGCAGTAAGATTCTCACAGATTCTAGAAAGTGGGGGTGAGGTGAGAGTAGAGGCAAAAGAGGAATATACATCATCTAGGGCACAGGTGGCAAGCACAAGGCCCGAGGGCCATATCCAGCCCTCCACCTTGTTTTATCCAGCCTGGCATCTTGTTTCTACCTGGCAGCAGCACCGAGCTCTCGTTTAACTGTTAAGGAGTAGTTACATTCATACAGTCCAAAAATTACATTCGGTCCTTTGAAGGCAATTGCGAGGCTGATGTGGCCCCTGGTGAAAATGAGTTTGACATCCCTGATCTAGGGGAAGAGTTGTCTCTGTCCTTATGGAAGACCATGCAGCAGGGAAGATCAGGCTCTGGAGGAAGCTGGAATCCTATTCTTTCCTTCCATTTGACTTTCCTGGCCCTGCCACTAACTAGCTTTGAGCCTCGCTCCTCCAGGGCTTGGTCGTGGGCAGCTCCAAAGGCAGGTACTCAGAACACAAGAAAGACTGCTACCTGTAAAGACTTCCCTCATGAAAGCTGGGAAGGCTGTTTTTAACTTCCAAGTTAGTGAAGATCCAAGGAGGACACCCTGCCCGACTCCTAAACTGAGCTCAGGGGGCTCTGATAGGGAGCGGAGTCATGTGACTTCTGGTTCTGATCTGGACCCACCAGGGCCATCTCGCTGCCTCATCTTTACACATCAGTTTCTCCCTGTTGGACCCCTGGGGTTCAACATCACTGTCTTCTTTCCTGTCTTTTGGTTAGAGAAGGTACTGGAGGGTTCGGTATAGAAATAATAGAGGTACAACACATGACCAAGGCATGGATTACAATTGATTATAATAAACAGGTTATCATGAGAGATTGTTAAATAAAAGCTTTTGGTTGCAAAAAAATCCTGTGTGTGCCATCAGCTGTGCCCTGGCTGCCGTTTCCTAATGCCCTCTTTTTCAGCGTGTGCTCAGTCCCTTGGCCCACACTCATGACATCTCCACAGATCATAAACTCCCATGAAGAAACAAAAGGAAATGATGGGCCCTGGGTGGCTCAGTTGGATGGCGCGTCATCCCATACACCAAAAGGTTGGGGTTTGACTCCTGATCAGGGCACATACCTAAATTGTGGGTTCAATCCCCGGTCAGGCCAGGGTGTGCACTGGAGGCAACTGATGGGTGTTCCTTTCTTATATCGATGTTTCTCTCTCTCCCTCTCTCTCTCATCAATAAACATATCGTCAGGTGAGGATTAAACAAAAAAGAAACTGATGAAGTAAAAAGAGGATGGATTCATTACCTAATTGTCAGTGGTCCTGATAGCTACTTAATTTTTTTAATCTTCACCTGAGAACATGCTTATTGATTTTAGAAAGGGGAAGGGAGGGAGGTCGGGGGGGAGAAACATCTGTGTGAGAGAGAAACATTGATCAGTTGCCTCTCATATGTGTTCCAACCAGGGACCAAACCTGCACTGAGACATGTGCCCTGGCCAGGAATCAAACCCGCAACCAATTGGTCTAGGGACAACACTGCAACAAATTGAGCCACACCAGCCAGGGCTGATGGCTACTTCCTTTTGAACTTCATGTATCATCCGTTTTGTACTGTGATAATGATTGCCCATTGCTCCCCGGTATCCATTCTTCCCTTCTTCCAACTCTTGTGACTCCAAAGTTGTAGAATTAGAACAAGAGTCACTCATTAACTGAATATTCCCACTGGTACACAAGTGCCCTCCACACCAAACCTATATTAAACATAAACCTAGACTTGGTACTTGAGAAGATACTTGGCATCTGAATGGCAAACTTTTTTTTAGGACTTTCTGCTTTTTAAAAAAAGTTTCAGAAAAATAGGCCTATAATTTTTTTGACTCCTATTTCTAAGATAAGTCTGGTGATTATATTCAAGAAAGTGGGTCCTGTATCCAAATACATACATCACAATTATTCACTGCTGCAATACAAGTTTGTTTTACAGCAGTAAACTAGGTAACCACAGCTCTTCAAGTGACGCTGAGTGTCGACTCATTATAATAGTGCAGGCTTTACTAAGTAAGTATAATCATCACTGTGAAAATGGAAATCTCTAGATGATAAAACAAGTGCTTTTATGTACTGTCTTTGGTTGGTTCTTTGTTTTGGGGGGCTTTTTTGGTACTGTCTTTTGAATAGCTGTCAACAAGGCATGATGGTTTCTCAACCATTATACCAAGAGCTATTCTATTTTTATAATATTCAAATTTTAGGGGATTTTAGTATTCATAGGTTTTGGGGGACAGTTGTACTACTGGGAGACTGGGCTCAATGAGCAAAATGGCTGGACTCTGCTTATGAAATTACTCCAACCAAAGTGACCAATTTAATTATGAATAATGTGGAACCAAGTGTGACCAGTGTGGAGAAAGGCGGTCCTAAGTGCTAAGAGCACTTACGGTAGAGTTACAGGCATACCTTGGAGGTGTTGCAGGTTCGATTCCACGCCATCATCATAAAGCGAATATCACAATAAAGTGAGTCCCACAAGTTTCTTTGGTTTCCCAGTTCATAGTAAAATTATGTTTATACTATGCTGTAGTCTATTAAGTGTGCAAGAGCATTATGTCTAGTGAAACAATATATATATTTTAATTTTAAAATACTTTAGTGCTTAAAGATGCTAACTATCATCTAAGCCTTTAGTGAGCTCTAATCTTTTTGCTGGTGGAGGGCCTCACCTTCAATTTGTAAAAAACTCAGTATCTACGAATGCAATAACACGCGATGGGACTGTGTAGACCCACACCTGCGGTACAGACCAGGAACTGACATGTGGCAGTGCAGCGGCCTCCAGGACCATGATGTGTTGTGCGGGGAGAACATCTGCCTGAACAGCTATGTGACCTTGGACAAGGCATCTAACTCTCTGTGCTTCGGCCTTTCCTCTGTAAAACGGGGATCAACGGGAACACGTGCAATGTTTCCGACAGTTCCCGGCACACCGTGAGCACCTACGAAATGCTGGTTCTCGTCATTATTCTTGCTGGTGTTGTCACCATCGCCATGCTGGCAGCACTGAAACCAGAAGGCACTGTCTTCCGGAGCAAATTCATATCTATAGTTGGCCACCTAGACATTAATCAGGCCAAAATTTTAGCCTGAGTACCCTTTAGGGTCAACTCTTAGCTTACTTGTCCACCCACAGCTCGCTCCTCTACTCTCGACAAGACAGTCGGTAAACCTAAGAAGAGAGCTGCAATGTGTTTATAAAGTAAATACGAGATTGTCACATTAGCAGCAGCATGAAACTCCCTCTCTCTTGCCCAGGAGGTATCTTCTCCACTTTTTGCTCCTAAAGGAAGAGGGAAAAGGAGTGTCCCTCTCACCTGGAGGGCTTGATGAAGTTTATCGGCAAAGTAGAGTGCTGTGTTCCTGATCACCGAGGCTGGAAGCAAAGAGGGAAAGATGGAGAGAGGAAGCTCCAGCTCCAGGAGACTCCGACCCATGGGTCCTGAGCAGGCCCCTACCTAGGCTGAGCAGAGCCATCTGGGCATCTCCACGGAAACGGTTCCGGACAGTGTGCTCCAACTCACGCCCAGTGCACCGCTGGTACTGATCAAACACTGGCGGTATGTGGGAAGGGAGTTAGAAAGATAAATGTGGGGTGGGGGTGTCATCACAGAGAAGGGTGAGCCCTCCCCATTTTCCTCAGCCAAAACCCATCATTACAGCAAGCAGGCGAGACAAGAGGGCTCGTGTGTACCTCGGACAAGGTGTTCAGGATTCCGCTGAGTGAGGATAAGGACCCATGTGCCCTCTGTGCCGGGTCCTTCAGCTTGCTTCAGTGCCTGGGAGTGGGAAATAAGTCAGGACCATTGATTGGGGGCTGGGGAGCCAAGGTTATGATGTTCCCAGAATCCATCACCATGATGGTGGAAATGGGATTAAGGATGGAAAAGTTATTTTAACCTGTATATTAGTTGCTTTTATTTATGGTTAAAAAAAGAAAAAAAGGGAACAGGACTACAAGAGGGGTCCTGCCCCTGCAGTTTGTAATCCCTGACTTTGGGAAACCCTGGCACTCAAGGGAGTAGGTAATCCCCAAGGGAGAGTCTGGGGAGGGTCCCCACCCAAATGCCTGTAAGAGGTGACAGCTCGCTTCCTGTGAGTTCAGGAGTCAGAAGTTAGATGAATGAAAAGGCTTCGGATGTAAGGCTACCTGACATCCCATGCCCCCACCACACCCCTGAGGACTCCTTCCCCAAGGCAAGGGCAGGTCTGTGGCATGAGCAGGTGCATGAGTCACTGGCTCTGAGATACAGTAAAGGAGGTGTCTTACGTGCAAGACCGCACAGACTCTCAGCCCCGCTTACCTGGACATCCTGTTCTGTGAGGTTATAGTCAATGATTTCGGAGCAGCTCTCACGCCCCCCCTGGGAGGAGACAGTCTCTCAGGAGAACTCTTTGAGGGGCAGGTTTTATCTCCAGGCCGACAAATCAACCTGGTCCCCCCACAAAGCCCTCTTGTCCATCACATCAAAACAATGCTCCCCACTCTGCCCCATACCCTTCCCAGATGGTGTAACTCCCTTCTTTTGCAAGTCAGCCCTCCTCACCTTGGCCAGGGCCAGCAACAGGTTTTGCAAAGTGCCACTGGTCTCAGATTTGATGTCCTCCTCAGCCTCTACCTGGAAATCTGGGATGGGGTCAAGAGCTCTCTGAATCCTCCTGAATTTTCTCAAGGTGGATGCCTGTAGGACCTGCCGAATGTCTGGCCCACTGTGCCCTTCCAAGCCTGCCAACACTGCTTGCAGTAGCTTGGTGGCTGCTACTCCCAGGGTGGACGGCCACCCTGAACGCATCCCTAAGCTGAAAGTACCCCACGTGCTGTGGGATCATGTGCTGTGGTGTAGCCTCATCTCCAGGCGCCAACCTGCTGCGGGCAGGAGGCATCTGCTGTTCCAGCCATGGCCAGGCAGTGAAGAGGAGATAAGGAAACCCATACGATAAGGTGAGATGGCAAGGAAAAGTGATGTGAGAGGTAGGATGTTACAAAAGGAAAAGAGCAGGAAAGGGAGAAAAGGAAAAAAGAAAAACAACCAGGGAGAGAGGCAGGAGAAGGATTAAGAGATAGGTCAAGACTGGACATCAAAGGAAAATTGGGAAAAGAAATAAAGTGAGTTGAGGCGAAGATGAGGGTGAGAAAAAGCTAGTTTCCAATTAGTGGGTGAGGCCTGTGGCAGCCAGGAGCCTGAGAGGTGACACCTACAACTTAGAGAGCAGGTCCCCACCTTGCCCCCTGGCTGCAGCAAGGTTCGGTTCAGCCTGGGATGTGGCGTGACGGCAGAATCAGCACGGGGCTGAGAAGATGACACAGGTGCCCTTGGGACTGTCCCGGTGCCCAGCACTGTCATTACCTTGGAATCTGCCCTGGAGCCCCAGCCCAAGATGGTTAATCATTGCTTCTTGTTTTCATGATCACATCTGTCTGTCTCCCTGGAGAGACCAGCACTGGGTGGGGGCAGAAGGCCGGAGGGAGCCCCAGGTAACAGAACTTGGGCAGACAGGCTCTCAGAGGGCTGGCTCAGCCGGACCAAGCGCCAGAGAGGAGGGGACAGACCCTCAGATCCTGTTCCAGCTCCTGCCACCCGCTCCGTCCGGCTCCTACCGTGTTTGTAGACTGCCAGGCACTCCTGCAGCTGGGGTGGGGTGCGGGTAGCAAGGATTTCCAGAACCACATCCTCAGCAGAACCTGAGTCCTACAAGAAATTGGGAGACCATGCTGAGACTGGGCCATGTCGTTAGGATGGCAGAAAGCAGATGCCGACCACGTGTCCTTCTAAGGGTCACCATGAGACGTTGGAATCGGACCTCTGCCAAGTCCCCTCCTCTGCAGTGGGCAAAGCCCAGCCACTCAGCCTTCTCCTTCGCCTGGTGGTGACTTCATTTCCCAGACACCCCATCGAGCCTGTTGTCCTTTTACCTTCAAGGCTGTCCTCAATTCCTGGGCATCAAAATGGGCTGCTGGCCGCAGCAGAGCCACCACGATCCTCTCGAAGTTGCCGGAGAGTGCCGCCTGCAGAGACTGCAGCAAGTCCTACAAGTGGAGCCCACGGTGGAGGAGCAGCTCGAGGGGCAGGCCCCAGGCCTGCGGAGGTCTGGGAATATTGTCTCAGGCCTGAAGCTCCGCCCCCATTTAACCAGGAGTCAGGGGGCGCCCACTATTGCTGCAGCCCAAGCCTTCCAGGGACTTCCACCCCGGCTCACTGCTCCAGGGAATCCCAGGGGGCTCACCTGCTGGGTGCGCTCCTGAAAAGCTCGCGAGATGAGCTGCCTCTGCTCTCTGCTGCGGTTGGCCAGCACGTCCGCAATGGCAGTGCGGTCCACGCCTGAACCAAGACGAGGGCTGCGCTGTATGCTGGGCACACCCCAGCCAGGGTCTTTACAGGGTTGGGGTGCCCTTGCCCCTCAGACTTGAAGCCTCCAGAGGAGCAGAGAACAAGATTCCGGGAAGAGCTGAAAGCATAGGAGCAGGGGTCCTATCACCCCACTTCCATTTGGTCTTAAAAGAGGATGCAAATAAGATGCCAAAGTAGAATGCAAACCCTACCCAAATATAGGCAAAGGTGGCCTGTGTGGCGGGAAAAATAGCTTTTGGGGATCAGCAGACTTGGGTTGGGATTCAAGCTCTGGCCTGGTGGGCTGTGTGGCCTGGGGCAAGCCTCTCCTCGCCTCCCTGAGCCCCAATTTCCTCCTGGTGCAATCAGTGGACGGAAGACTCAGCTCCCAGGGCATTGTGAGACTGGCTGTGACACACCTCCCATTGCACCTGCCATACAGGAACTAAGGCATTCCGAAAACACTTACTGAGATCTCAGTCCCTCCCTGCCAGATCTTTCTTGGTATACAGACTGGCTTCAAAAAGCCAGACCCCCACCCCAAGTGCAGAGGGAAAGGGGCTCACCCTGGCCTGCGATGGCCCTCAGCAGCCTCTGCACGTCCTTGTCCACACTGAAGCTCAAGAAGGTCCTGAGGGTGCCCAGGGTCCCCCACGCTGCAGTCTGTGAAAGCAAGGAGGCACCACAGGTCTGCCCACAGCCTCCCCAGCGGGGCACTGGTGTGGCCCCAGGGCCCGCTCTGCTTCCCTGCTCCCAGCCCCCTCACACCCTGAGCTGATAAAGTTCAAGTGGCTCCCACAGTCCCAGCAGCCCCTACCTTTCTGGCAAGGCCCAGGTGGCTGAGGATCTCCTGGGTCAGGGAGAGCCCCGTTTTCCCACTGGTCACAGACATGGTGCAGCCGGCTGCCCTGGGGAGGGAAACAGCAGCCAACTGCGGGAAATTTCCAGCCCTTCCGGGCCTCTTTATGACCTCTAGGCCCCGAAACCTGGGCTTCCATTGCCTGTTCATTTCCCTTGTTGTAGAAAAAGAGGACCTTAACCTGCTCGGCAGGTTCGGGAGCTCGAGTGGAGGGGTGAGAGGGGAGCCCCCACCTTCCCCACCTCTCGCCCTCCTTCAGGAAACAAGGGCTGATCAGGGATGCTGCCCAAGCTGGCACCAAACAAACCCTCCCTGACTGCAGGGCCGGCCCCTCGCTCCCAACCCTTGGCCTGAAGTGGATGACCCCTTTCTGAGGTCCAAGTGCTCTTGCTTCCCCGGCCTGGCTGGGCCCTTGAGGAAAGGCGAGGCAAGCTGGCAGGAGCAGTAGGTGGGGTGGGAGCCAGCTCCTAACAGCACCGTCCCTGCTTCAGCCCCAGCCCACCAAGCTGCCTACCTCCTGCCTGCCTCTCACCCTTGGAGTCTCTAGCTGGGTTTCTAAGTCAGCAGGTGCAATTTCTGAGCTGATGTGAGTTTGTGTTCTTGTGGGGACATGGGTGCCTGGATGAGGGAGCAGGTACTCATGTTGGAAAGGAAAACTCCTTTTTCCCTCTCCCAAGTGATCCACAAGCTCCCACCCCTCCCGATCCTGGGGGCCCAAGTCCAGTGCTTACCCCGAGGTGCTGGGGGTGAGGTGGGTGTCGTCACAGCCTGGTGGCGTGCCTGTGTGGGTACTAGCTCCTGTGTGGCCTGGTAGAGGTGGGGTGGGGGGGCATGTGCAGCCCAGGTGGAACAGCCAGTCAGATGACCTCTCTAGCAGACCAGCCCAGCTGTTTTCTGGAGCTCTGGCCCCTCCCAAACGTGGGAGAGGACCAGGCTGTACTGGGTCCCACAAGCAAACACCTCCCTACCTAGCATCTCTCCTCCCAGGAACTGGGCCTCAGCCCACGCGTGAGAACTCTGCTCGGCTTCTCAGCAGCTCAGTCCCGGACACAGGAGGCTTTGTGCATTGCTTTCCCAGGGGGGCCAGGTGGGACTGTAGAAGTCCGGTCTCTACGGCCAGCTTCTGACCTGGCCCTGCCTCTGACTCCGGCTCCCTGGGGGGGCAGGTCAGACAGGCTCCAGGCTGATTTCAGGTTGATAGAGAAAAACCTGTTGGGGCACATACCAGCGGGGCACCCCAGCCTGCACCCCAGAGGGGGTCCCAGCCCAGAAACTCCCTTGACTATTGCCTTATTAGAGTCAGCCAGCTAGGGTGGGGAGGTCCAGGGGACTGTTTCTCTCTGTGGAGAAGGAAGGGCACAGGCATTTGGAGGTGAGAGCAGATCAGCAGAGTCAAGAGAGAAGAATGCAAAGGGTGTTCCTTCTGGATAGAAGCACTGTGCTCACGAAAGGCAACAGGGAGATGGGGGAGGCTCCCCAGGTCCCTGTTTCTTAGATTCCTTCTATTGCCTTTTGGCTGCCAGGACTGTTTTAGCAGCTGGTGATGCAACTGCCGCAGCTTGGCCGGGTGCTGCCAGAGCACACAGCGGCAGGTGAACAGTTTTGAGGAGCCTTAGGGGCCCCTGAGCAGGCAGTTACTCAAACCTCAGAGCCAGCTCCCTAGGGCCTGGGAGCAGGCTCCTTCCTGCCTCCCTAGTGGGGTCAAGTGGGGGCTGGGCCCAGAAGCTAGAGAGCTGTCTCCATTCCTCTGCCACTGGCCCAGCCCAGGAAGGCCCTCCCTGTTTTGTCATGTGAGGAGGTACCTGCGGCTCTCCTACAGAGGAGAGCAGGGCTCAGGAGCTGCCCGGAAGGGAGATTTCCATGGGGCAGTTATTGCTCCTCACTTTTCTCTCCCGTTGAAGTGGAAATCACGCACTGGTTTTTGCTGGAGGACGTGGGTTCAGGCCCTAGCACTGCCACTTGGTATGTTCTGTAACCACAGCTAGTCATTTCAGGTCTGTGTCTGTTTATTTACCGCCCCCCAAAAGGGTAGGGGGGAATATTGGGAAACGCTGGCGGGGGCTTTTTGGGGCACCCCGAGGACAGGCTGCTTGGGAGGATGAAATGAGGTTGTAGATGTGATGACATCTGACAGAGAAAACTGCCTTGTAAAGTAGGGTTGCCAGATTTAGTAAATAAAAATATAAGACACCTAGTTAAATTAGAATTCCAGACAAACAATTTGTTGGTATTAAGTATAACCCAAATATTTCATGGGATATACTTATCCTAACAAATTATTTGTTGTTTATCTGAAATTATAATTTAAATGAAGATACTGTATTTTGCCTGGCAACCTGAAAAATGGGACTTATTTCAGAATGGTTAAAGCAGAGGTCCTGAAGCCAGACTCCTTAGACTCAGAATTCTGCTCTTCTCTGTGACTATGGCGACTACCTTAACCTTTCTAAGTTTACTTTTCTCATAGTCAAAACGGAGAGAGAGTGATCATATTATAGGTGAATGTGTGAATTAAATAACAATACATGTAAAGCACTTTCGCAGAGTACTGGGCACAGAGTGGTAAGTACACATGTCAAAATTTTAACTAATATGCAATAGTAAATATTGCTATAATGTTATTTTACAATGATAACTTATTATTAACTTGGCTCCCTAGGAGGTCCAATCTCTGCTCTCCTCTGCAACTTCTTTCTTACCATTCCCAGATCTGGCCACAAGAAGGTATCGGTAACCACGGAGAACCGAGAGCCCCCTAGTGGCTACTTGAAATCCTGGAGGCTCTGGCTCCACACAGCTGTCATAGCCACTTCCTTCCCTTGTTGAGAAATGCAGTCTGCTGAAGACCTCAGGTTCCTAAGTGGACTTGGTGGGTAGTCTAGGTCAGGGTAAGAGCCTGAGGTAGGCATCTCCTCAAGGGTGCCCAGTGAGACAGACCTCAGGACACAGGCCGGAGACTTCCTAGGCTGGGTTACCGCAGTATAGTGGCTCCACAGCCAGTCCCTGTGCCTTCTGCGTTCTGTACCCTTCAGAGTCTCTTCTGGGAACACATCCCAAGTAGGCTTAGGGGGGAATGAAGGGAGAAAGGGAGCTCTTGTTTCCCCAGCCCAAACTCCGCACGAGACTCCTGGCTGATCTGCAAGGCCGAACTCCGCATTTGGAGTGGGCAGGCAGAACCCCAGTCAGGTGGCAGAAGCACAGTCCTACTTGCCCAGGAGTAATGTTACAATTGCTCCACGGAAACTTGGTATCACATCTTCTGTCCCTTGGTTTTGCTTTGTTCAACTCCAGGGCCAGGCTGAGGTTGTTTTCAAGTGCACTAATCACTTTCTACTCCCAGCCTCTAATTTTTAGAATTTCAGAGTTGGAGATCTTAGAGATGTCCTGGTCTACCACCCTCTGGTTACTGACTCAAGGTGGCGGAGTGACTTCCCAAGACCATGTTGGAACCAGAATCAAGGTCCCCTAATTTCTTCTCAGTGTTTTCTTTCCCACTCAGAGCAAGGCATGGCTGATTTGGGGTCCCTCTGAGTGGAACACGGGGGGACAAACAGGAACACAGGGAGCCTCCACTGTTGACTCGTGACACCTTTTCAACTCTCAACTCCATCTTGCTTTTATGTAAAACTTAACGAAGAGGATAAATTCTGAGAAATGCACGGTCAGGTGATTTCATCGTCGTGTGAACATCACAGAGGCACTTACACACATCTAGATGGCACAGCCCGTGACACACGCAGGCTGCATGGAATAGCCTAGGCTGCAAGCCTGTACACCATGTTACTCTACTGAATATTGTAGGCACTTGGTACACACAATAGTATTTGTGTATCCAGACACAGAAAAGGTACAGTAAAAATCTGGTATAAAAATTAAAAAATTGCACTCCTGTATAGGGTACTTACTGTGAACGGAGCTTGCAGGACTGGACGTTGCTCTGGGTGAGTGAGTGAGTGGTGAGTGAATGGGAAGGTCTAGGACATTACTGCACATACACTACCGTGGACTTTATAAACACTGTGCACTCAGGCTACAATTTATTTGAAAGTTTTTTCTTCAGTAATAAATTAACCTAACTTACTATTTTTTTACCTTATAAGCTTTTATTGTTTTTAACTTTTGACTCGTAATAACACTTAACTTAAAACACATACTGTATAGCTAGCTGTACAAAAATATTTTTCCTTATATTCTTATTCTATAAGCTTTTTTAATTTAAAAACTTGTTTTAATTTATTTATTTTTAGAGAGAGTGAAAGGGAAAGAGAGAGGGAGAGAAATGCCCATGTGTGAGAGAAGTGTGAGGGAAACAGATGGGTTGCCTCTCGCATGCCCCTGACCGGGGACCTGGCCTGCCACCCAGGCATGTGCCCTGGCTGCGAATTGAACCAGCGACCTTTCAGCTCGAAGACTGGCACTCAACTCACTGAGGCACACCAACCAGGACCTAAAATTTTTTATTTTAATTTTTAAAAAACCTTTTTTGTTAAAACCCAAGACACAAACACATACATTAACCTAGGCCTACACAGGTCGGGACCATTGACAGCCCTGTGCCCCCCTCCCCCCACATCTTGTCCCCCTGGCAGGTCTGAGGGGCAAGAACAGGTACAGAGATGTCATCTCCAATGATAACAATGCTTTCTTTTGGAATACCTACCTGAGGGTCTTCTTGAGGAGTTGGCACTCTTCAAAAATATGTCCGTGGTGGTTTGCTTGTTTTTTTCCTTTTATTTCATCATATATTTGTTTGTAAGATTTTTGAAAAGAAAAAAAAGGCCAAAATGGAGTCATTTTTGATAAGCTAGATTACCAAACCAAAACTTAATAATTAACCTAATTGCAGTTTCAGCTTCTCCCAGGAGTGGAATTTTAAAATCAATCAGTCTGGAATTTCCCAATCAACTTTAGTGAAGTAATTTGCCTTATAAAACCCCTGCTGATGTGGCTGGTGTGGCTCAGTGGGTTGGGGCATCTGCCCCAGTGAAAAGGTCCTGGGTTGGGGGTGTGGGGGAGGCAACCCACTCCATGCTTCCCGATTCATGAGGTTTATGAATTCCTTAATAAAGCCAATTAGATCTTCAAATTTACTCAGCTGAATTTTGTTCCTTAACACAGGTAATGTACTATGAACGTTTATCTCTGTTAATGAAAGCCTTTTGGTGTTGGGGGCCATGTTTTCAAACTTTTTTTCTTTTCAACTCACAAGGCAACACCTTTAATAAACTTTTTAAATTAAAAAGATATTTGAGAGGGGAGAATTGAATGTGGGAGAGGGTGGGCAGGGCAGGGGAGAGTAATGGGGGGAAAATGGAGACAACTGCAACTGAACAATAAAAAAAGTTAGCTCTTATTACCTTCATTGAAAAGAAGAACAAAGTTTTCAAACTTTCTAATAAGCTTGCTGAAGTCTTCAAAAGCTCCTGCTAAACCCTTCAGTGAATATTTTAGGGGTTCTTTTTCTTCTCCTGCAGTTTCCTTTCCTCTTGCCTTTTCTTCAGTGGTGTGTTCCTGTTCCAGCGCCAACAACTTCTCAAGTCAGTTCCTCGGGAAGCCCCTCTCAGTTCCCAGTGTCGTCCTCATTCATACCCAGATCAAAGTTGTTCGCCATCTTAACCACAGCCTCATCAGTTCGTGCAACAACATCTGCAGCACAACGATGTTAAGACGGCTAGGAAGTCTCTAGGTGACGGGAATTCTTCAGCTCCACTGTAATCCAAATGGGCTGCCTGGTACCTATATGTGGTCCCTTTGGACTGAACTGTCATTATGCAGCACATGACTGTACCTTGCATTGATTCCAGAATACAGAGAAATTTCTCCTGGCAATTTTTTCTCCCCAGAATTCCTGGCACTGGAATCCCCCTGCTGCTGTACTAGCCAAGCTCTGCTCCTTGATCCACACAGGCTTCTGTGTTGCACCTGCAGCCTTATCTTATCTGGGAAGACCCACTCTCCACACCTGAGGTCAGGTCTTCTCCAGTTCCAGAAGCCTGGCCCAGATACCTAATCCCAGCCTGAAGGCTGGGTGGTGGGGTGGTGTCCTCTGCCTCTGGGACACCTCAGCAGCCCTGTGGAGGAAGTGAGTCAGTCAAGGCAGGCAGCTTGGGGCATTGTGGGTGTGGCTATGCCAGCCAGGG